TGTGATTTGTTTCTTTTCTCTAACTGCTTGTAGAACTTTGTTTTCTGTTGGGTTTCTGGAATCTTAACAATTATATGCCTGTGTGTAGATTTTTTTTGATGAAGGCTAGTTGGAGTCCTATATGCCTCACTTATCTGTATTTCAAGTTCTTTTCCCCTGCTTGGGAAGTTTTCTGCCGTCACATCTGTGAACAGTTTTTTTATGTCATCTGCACTCTCTCCTATTTCTCCATTGACTCTGATCAGTCTTATGTTATTCTTCTTTGCATTATCTAGCAGTTGCTGGATTGATTTCTCTTGGTCCCTTACAATTTTAGAGCAGTTTTTCTTTTCCTGGTCACTAATTGCAATCTTATCTTCTATATCTGAAATTCTGTCTCACATGGGCTCATTCTGCTGCATAAATTGTCAATGGAGTTTTTAATCTCCTGGAAATTTGTTTGCATGTGTTTTATGGATTCCATTTGTTTTGTATTTTGGGATTCCATCATGTTCCTCAGCTCTATTTTTTTATCTGTGTCCTCTCTAGATTTATTAAGCATGTCTTGCACTATGGCGACAATCCCTGCTGTTATCTGAGCAATTATTTCTGATTTCATTTTTTCCAGATCCTCTTTTGTTGCCAATTGAGGGAGTCCATGTGGTTGAGTATCAGAGTGTTCCATCTCATTTCCCTTTGTGGTTGCTTTAGGTGATCTGGGAGTCTGGTTTTGAGATTGTTTAAGTTTCTTCTCATTTCAACAGGAGGGAGGTGCTGCTGGAGCTCACGCAGCTCACCTCCTTGGTGCTGGGCGTGGCTCTGCTCCTTGGTACTGAGGGCGGTGATACGGCGGCCTAAAAGGCTCACTTCCTCGGCGTTGGCGGTAGCTCTGCTCCTCAGTGCTGGGGCCAATGGTATGACGGCCCAAAAGGCTCACCTTCTCAGCCCTGGGGATGGTTTTGCTCCTCAGTGCTCAGGGCAGTGGTATGGTGGCCTTCAAGGCATGTTTCTGCTGTCACTGGTAGACTAAGGGGGCAGACAGAGTCCAGGTCTTTATTGATTAATCCTAACAAGCCAGCCATAGATTTACAATGAGGTAGTGGATAATCCCAGCAAGCTTCCATCTTTTGTTCTGAAGCTTAGGCTTTTTTCTGGCTGTGAGGCTAGAACCCATTTTGTTCAGCCTCCAACACACTGTGTGGCTCCTACTGGCTTGAACTTGTCTCCTTGACCTCCTGAGTTCAACTTGAACTCAGTTCCGACTCACCTAGATGGAGTATGCCCACAGCTGCTCTGAGTTCCAGGCTCAGTTGGCCTCTCTCCAAGATGGCTACTGGCCAATCACTCTCTCTTGGGGGACGTCTGGACCCAAATAACTCAACAACCACTGGAGCCTGCTGTGTCCACTTCTCCATTCCTCTGGTGCATTTCTCCGTGGAGGCCTCTGGGATCGCCAGTAGTTCGAGCTGTCTTTCCCATGCAGTAAGTCTGGGTTCAGGGAGAGAGCACTGCTTGCCACCTCCTTCTTCATTGAAGTCTCTCTCTTTGCCCTCCCTGTGGGCTTCAATTCTTGCTTTAGATACTTCCTGGGTCCTGGGAACCCACTTCCCTCTTCCTCTTCCTCACGTTGCTATATTCCAGCATCTGGACCCCAAATCTCGGAGAGGCTGTTTCTCTGCTCAGCTCTATTGTTTCTACCTGTACTACTTGGATCTCTGAAATCTTTTCTCTCTCATCTCAGCCTTCTTGTTCACTCTTCCCTAGATGCAGGGCTGTTTCCATACTGCAAGTGGTGTTGAATTCTATGCTTGTGTTATCCTCCCTTGTACCCTGCACTTGTGCCTCCTTTCTTCCTTGGGTGGCAATATCTCACAGCAAACATAGTGTGTGTGCTTTGAAGTCACCCAGAACTGATGTTCCAGTCCTGACCCCCTACACTAGCAGTATTTCTTTTTGTTGCAGTTCTCTTTACCTATAAAATGGTTTAAAGTTCTAAGAATTAAGTGATAAAATGCACCATGACAGACACATCAGAGACACTCAACAGGTGTCAGTGATCTTACCATCACCCCCATTTTTGAAGCTTGAGTCTTACAGGACTAATACATATGGGACTTTCATCTTGATCACTGAACATTCAACTTCCTACTTAAAGATATAGCCTTTTGTTGGAAATAAGATTATAGATGTTGATGTTGCCTTGCAAAAGGAACACTTATAGGCATGCTGCTGTGCTTGGCCCAACTGACTCAGATGCCATAGTTGTCATCATAGACAATACACAAGAATAGGTGACTTTGAAAATAAAGCCTGGGTTTTACTCCTCCACATCGCATTCATGTGAGAGATGGGTTTAAAGATGAGAGCTCAAACAACTTGTGTGTGGCAAAGAAAGGAAAGAAGGGAATTAGATTTAGTATGTACTGAAATGCTGTACATTCTGCAAGGCTGGCTTTCTTCTTTCCCCTGTGTTTCTCTTCCCAGGGTTTGATTAAGTGAGCTAGATAGGTCATGTCCTCTCACCTATTTCTGTCTTCTGCTTTTTAAAATATACAAACCCCTTCAGAAACTGTAAAATCAAAGGGTGTCTTTTCTCTAAAGCAGTATCCAGGCCTCATGAGCTGCTGAACCCAAAAGGGTTTTGAAGCTAAAAATCCAAATAAGTAGCTTCCCAGGGGTCCTAGCTATTATAGAGTTCACTTGAAAACCAAAAGGGAGTCCCCTACAACAAGGGCTTTATCAGGCTTATATATAATATGGATGCTTAGCAGTTATCACCATTCAGTAGTGCTTCAGTTATGTTGACCAGAATGAAGAGGCGTTTTTACGGTGCTGTGTTGCTTTCAGCCAGATATCCCTCTTTGAATGAATGTAAATGCAAAGTAGACTCAAGAACGTATCTGACAGCCTGTGTTTTGGGGGGAATCTCTGGGCCTCATGAGGATCATCCTGGACTCTGGCTAGAAGCCAGAAGAGGTTTTATAGAAGGGTGAGGATGTGGGTTCCTGGGGTCTCTGCCATTCAGGTAAGCCATATGTGTGACATGTGTACCATCTCTGTCAGCCTCAAATTCTTCATCTGTCAAATGAAGTGTTTGACCAACTTCATTGCTAAGGGCTAGCCTAGCTTGAACTAATATTGGGGGGGGGGGATCTAGATTAAAAACCCAAATTAAATCATAGGCAGTTTACTCTCAAAACTAGGAAGCTAAGGAAGCTTCCCAGAAAATATTATACTGTATTTTATTATATATATTTTCACCTATGCATATTCTCCAAAATTTCTGTTATACACACTTTGAGATGAATTCCATAATCTCCTTTCCCTATTCCAACTTGACTTCATGCCATGTTTGGCTTCTCCCTTCCTCTCCTTTTGAGGTGCAAATCGGTTCTGATAGAAACACTCTAAACACCCTCTCTAGGACAGTCAGAGAGCTGACCAGCTGTAGTATTGGTTTTGGTCATTTGGGCAGAGGGAGGAAGGAGCTGTCAGCATTCATCCCATCAGAAGGAGCCAACAGCCATCATCCTTCATCTTTCCAGGCTTTCTTGGTTTCCCTTTCCCCAGGACAAAACATTCTGAGGAGGAGGAGGGCCTCCATTCCCCCCTCAAACCCCAGCACCTATGAGGAGATTGCAAAAAGGAGACCTGTCCAATTTCTCTTATTTCCCCAAAACTGCTCAGAATAGACTTATAGTCCACACAGTGGTCATTGGACCTCACTACTACAATCATGCAGGCCCCTCTCACATGCTGTTATAGTACATTTGAGCAACCACTGCATTAAAAGCCACTTATGCATGAAAAGCATTCACAGGCCTTGGAACTTGACAGTGAATCTAGGGCAAGCTTTGTGAATACAGGGAAAGAAATGCTATAAGGGTAAGCAGGGAAGGTCTGAGGATCTTAGAGAAAGAGGTCCTGTGGAGCCTCCAGCTGGCCTAAGGACCTGCCTGGGTGTCTCTTTAAAGTTACATTGTAGCTTCTTTATGACTGCATACTAAGCAGCCTCCAGGAGCCCCACCTATCCCAAAGGAGGAGCCCAAACAGGTTTGGTGTGCTAACAGAGAGACTGTTGAGCATAAAAGATTCTCTCTTCCTCCTAAGGAGCCTTTCCAGTTGAGGGAGAGAGTCTAGAAGCAGAAGCAAGTATGAGGGAATTAATGCTCTTATTCAATCTTAGTCTACTTCTTGATTAGATTCTACATGATGATGATGGTGGTGGTGATGACAGTGGTAAAGTTGATGATGATTTTTCCTTGGCCAGTTGAATCTGAGGAATGCTGGGATATGCAGAGCTAATTAGTGGGGTTAATTTGAAATGAGATATCTCAATCTTTAGTGAGTCATCCAGGGAGGGGTCGGACAGGAATTTCCTACTGTTTTGGGTGCTGACACCTTTCTTCATGCTACCCTATGCATATTTGAACAATACCAGGCTATTCCTGGTACCAAAATTAAATGTACTCCCAGCAGATTTGGGTAGTTTATTCATGTAACTCGTGTTGCCTTATCGAAAGCCCTTAAATAGAGAGAGAGAGAGGGATGGATGCCTGTCACCCGGGGTTTTAGCTCAGTGGTGCCTGTGCCTGCCTTGCAAGTGCAAGCTCCTGAGTTCAATACCCGGGACCAAAAAAAAAATTGCTCTCAATAGATGCCTGTCTAAACACAATCTGCTTTGTATTCTATGATATTGCACAATTTGGGGATTTAATACCACTTTTTCTCTCCCCACAGAACATTGACATCACCAATTTCAGCAGTAGTTGGAGTGATGGCCTGGCCTTCTGTGCTCTGCTCCACACCTACCTGCCTGCCCACATCCCGTACCAGGAATTGAACAGTCAGGAAAAAGTAAGTTACAGCTGTCTTGGTTCTTCTCTAGAAATGCAAGGGAAATTCCTAATTCTGTTGATACATCCCAATAGGGGTGGCATTTATAGAGCTGGAATAGACTTTAGGCTATTGATACCAGCATGATAACTCCTGACTGTGTGACTGCACCACGAGGTCCCATCTTCAGTAAATACTTCTCAGCTTCCCTTCTCAATACATATTCCTAGTTACCTAGGATAAGTTGTTTGTTTTGCTTTGTTTTGTTTTGTTTGAGGCAGTGTCTCGCTTTGTAGTTCAGGCTGGCCCTGAACTCACTATGTAGCCCAGCCTGGAACTCTCGGTGATCCTCCTGCCTCAATCTCGTTGTTACCTAGGAAAACACAGTGAAGGCCAGTTTACAGTGGCCACTAAGAAGTTCTTGTCACCCATTTTCCAGAGAAATCCCTAAAGGAATCTGATCTTCATGGTTTCAAACCTTAGCCAGGTTTTTCAAAGTCAATTCCAGGGCTTGGGAGTACAGCTCAGTTAAGAGTGTTTGCCTAGCATACATAAGGCCTGAGTTTGATTCCCCAGTGCTACAAAAATAAAAAATAAAACAAAGTCTATTCCAAATAACCAGCAAATACCATCAAAATGATTCCCTGCTCAAATATGGAAACTGCATATCACATTTTTAGTTGTGTATTAAAGACTTCAGGATGTTCAACATTAAAGAAATGTATGTGACTTTGTTTAATGCAGTGTATATCATATCCACAAAATCTTCAGATTTGTTTCAGTTTTACTGTAATCACCCATAACAAAGTTGGCAGGCTGATGTGGTGGTGCACACCTATAATCCCAGCACTCTAGGAGGTGAGGCAGGAGGATCACAACTTTAAGCCTAGCCTGGGCAATTTAGCAAGACCATGTCTCAAAATAAAAAATAAAAATAGGACTGGGGATGTAGCTTAGTGCAAAGGCCCTGGGTTCAGTCCCCAGCACCACCAAAAATAAAGGTTGTCAAACTTCCTTTAGGGGCCAAATAGTTGACTTTCTGAGTCAGTTGGTCTCTGACACAAATACACAACTCTACTATCAAGCTAAAGTGTCTGTGGACTATATGTAAATGAGTGGGCCTGGCTGTGTTCCAATAAAATTTTATTTATAAACACAAGATGTGGGCCAGATTTGGTCTGTGGGCAGTAGTTTGCCAACTCCTGACTATAACATCCTACAAAGTCATATTCCACAGAGTAAGCTTTGGGAAGTACTGTGCTGGGCCCTGTACTCATCTACTCAACAATTTCTTGCCAACCATGGTACCTAGGCAACACTGAGCAACACAGACATGTTCTCCATGCCTTTATGTGGTAAGACAGACAATAAACATGTGAAGTAATTTATAGCAAGTAAAATTATAAATAATTATGAGTCAAGAGAGAAACAGTTCTGTGAGAGTTGAGTAGTAGGGATCTTATGTATTTATTTATACAGTACTGAAGATGGAACCAAGGATCTTGCCTATGATGGGCAGGCTTTCTACCACTGAACTACACCCCCAGCTCCCAGTGATCCCAGTTAGACCAGGAGACTGAGATGACCTTTCCGAGGCAGTTGCACTCAAGCTGCCATCTGAAGAATGAGTGTGAAGGAGGCAGCCGTGCAAAGCACTAATGATGCTTTCCAAGCCAAAAGAGCAACAGGAGCAAGGAAATACTGGGTGCTGGCAAGGACATGGAGGAAAGAGGGGACTAGGTTCTGGTGGGAAGGGAAGAGTAGACTGTGATGCCAGGGGACAGGTAGAGTGGGCCATGCCCTTTAGAGCTCCCTTCTGAGGATGGCTCTGATAAGAAGTTTACATTCTGCTTTATGCACGGTTTTAAACAGTGGAGAGTTATGATTCATATTTATAAAAAAGCTCTCTGACTTTATGTGAAAAAGAAATTGGAAGGGAAACAAAAATGAAGGGGAGCTCTGAGTTAGGAGGCCATTGCAAAAGTAATTTGGAAAGCTCAGAGTCTTTAGCTTCACCCATTAACTGGGAATAGAGTGGTAGCAGTAGGAAAGATTCATAAGAGTTTAAAATATGTCTTGGATACAAGAGTCACCTTGACTTAGCAACAGGTTGGTTATAGGAGGGAGAAGAGGAAGGAGTCAAAGACCACTTTCGGGTGTCTGATTTGACAGGACCATTTTCAAGGATAGAAAAGGCAAAGAGAAGTTTAATAGTTCTGTTTTGATTATCCCATATCAAGATTTAAATAAAGTCATTACCATTGTTATTAAATAATAAAGAGAATGACGTGGCAATGATAATAAATGAACAAAATGATTTAAATTTTTAAGATGTTAAGGTTCTTCAGAGAAGCATAACCATTGGGTGTTTGTAGGGGGTAGAAGGGAGGTAAGATTTTAAGGACTTGGCTTGACGATTATAGAAGCTGGGAAGTCCAAAATCTGTAGGGCACTCTGGCAGGTTGGAGACTCAGGGAAAAGTTGATAGTTCAAGTCTGCATGCCATCTATTGGCAGATTTCCCTCTTTTTGGAAGAAGTTAATCTCTCTCTATGAAGGTCTTTGACTGATTGGATTAGACCCACTCACATCATGGAGGGTCATCATCTGCTTTACCTAGAATTCACTGATTTAAATCTTAATCTCATCTTTTAAAAACCTGTTGCAGAAATAACTAAAATAATGTTTGGAAAAAAAAATAATGTTTGGCCAAATGTCTGGATACCATGTATAGACAAGTTGACACATAAAATTAACCACCACAGAGTGTATTACATTTTAAAGCACGTATATTTTGGGTGCTTTGCAATCTATGAAGCAGTCTGGAGAGGATTATTAAACATTTTAAGGAAAAAAGTTGTGTTTCAAATCATGTTAAGTCTGAAATATATGAAATAAATGCAGGTGGTGATGTCAGAAAGAAAACTGGATAGCAAGTCTGGAGTTCAGATGAGAGATCCAAGCTGAAAGTATAGATCAGGAAGTCATCAATGACAGATGAGTGCTGCATAATGGAACTTCCTGAGATGATGGGAATGTTCTGTCTGCATTGTCCAATATGGTGGCCACAGCCTCATGAAAAATAAAGCACATGAAATGTAGCTAGCATGACTGAAGAACTGAAATTTTTATTTTAATTCATTTCAATTTAAATAAGCACAGTTTATGAGTGGCTACCCTTTTGGGTGGGGCACATATAGATGATACTTAAATTTATGTGACTGAAGATCACTCAGTGTCTATAACCCAAGAGAAGTGATATGGTCAGTTTATGTTGCTATAACAAAATATCTGAGCCTAGGTACTTCATAAAGAAAAACAGATTTATTTAGCTGTCAGTTTTAAAGGCTGAAAGTCCAAGATCATGCAGCCCCATCGGCTTGGACCCTGGTGAGGAACTCATAGGGGATGGCGTGTATACAGAAAATTACAAGGCCATCAGAGTCAAGAGCCAGCCTTGCTAGCTCTTTTTATAATTCACTCTTGCAGGAACTAGTCAAGTCCCCAAGAACTATATTAATCTCTTACAAGGATGATAGCCCAGTGACCTAATTACCTTCCACTGGGCCTCATGTCTTAAAGGTTCCATCACCTCAGCACCACCACACTGGGGGCTGAGCTTCCAACACAGGAACATTTGAAGGACAAACTCAAATCATACCAAAACCATCCAGATAGAACCAAGGAATAAGCCTTGAGGACTCTGGAGTTTGTGGTCTAGGTAGAAGAGGATGACCTAGCAGAAAGAACTAGGAGGGAGCAGCCAGAGAGTAGAACTGAGATCACAAGGTGTCACAGAGGCCAAGAGCAGAGCACAGGATCTGATAGCCTCACAGGCAAAGCCCTAATCTGACCATGATCTAGGCATCGGTCCCCTCCCCACCCTGTTGACTTTTCAGACCTTGCCTTTCCCATGAGATGTTACAAAGATAATTGAGGAAATAGTGGCTATAAAATAATGAGGAGACCTTCCTAAAACTGGGAAGTGTAAGTTTAAATGCTCATACACATTGTCTAAAACCCCATGTCTTTCCAGCAGATCTGGCTTCTTTATCTTCTAATCAGTATCTGTTGAAAAATAATGGATCTGCAAGTGTTTGTTATCATGCTTTGAATCATGAACATTGCTTTCTAATGACTGAAACCTCTTTTCTCATTTTTCAATACTACGGATTGAACCCAAGACATTTTCACTGAGTTATATCCTCAGCCCATTTTTATTTTGTGACAGGGTCTTACTAAGTCATTAAATTGCCCAGGCTAGGCTCAAACTTCCAGGCCTTTTGCCTTAGCCTCCCAGAGCTCTTGAATTACAGGCATGTTTGAAAACTCTTTGTTTCATTCTGAATCCTTCTGGATTCCCACATTCAGACACCAACTGTCCTCCTGTAGATATGAAAATGTGCAGCAGGGCAGGCAGGCATCACATTGTCCTCCTTTTGTTGTCCTTACAGATCAGAGGAGAGGCTTCTGTTTTCTACATGTTGAGGTTAAATTCTTTTGCCCAAATCTATCATACTGTCATCACCAAGCACCTGAGTCCAGTGGTCTGTGACATCACAAGAGATAGCCTCAGATACCTGGAATGTTGGATTTCAAGATCTACTTGGCTTCACAGCTTCCCTGTCAAATGGAGTTGGATTTGTGTCCTAGCACCTAGGACTCTGTTTGTTAGTTACCACCGCACCACTCCCTGAAGGAACATCTGGCTTCCTGTTTCCTTAATCCCCTGTCCTGGCTACACGCTTGGTTGAGTGACAATGGCTGCAGCATTGACATTTCGTGACTGCCAGGTTATGATGAACAGGCCCCAGGGGTGAGAGAGACCAGACCCATTAGAGTTATGGATAAGGGTTTTCACAGTAGTGTGTCAACACAAGCAAATCGATACAGAATAAAGCTGAGAACATGTGTGTAACCTAATAGCAGAGTGATCTTACTAGAAGAGAAAGAGTACATGAAGGAGAAGCTTCCCAAAGGAGGCATATTTGGAGTTGGATTTCAAAGGAAACAAGCTGATTT